CAGACAAAGGGAACAATGAGACTCAGAAGTCAGGGTGATTCAAGTGGAAAGCAGAAGGCTGACGAAGGATTTTAATCATAGGTTTCAACTCCAAGGAGCGTGGCTCTGAGAACAGCAGGTAGTTAACTCTTTAGGAATCAGAAGAGAAGAGAATTGTACAAATATATAGTCAGGGAATTTGGGAGTGCCTTAGCAAGGTACTGCTACATTATGACATTTTTGAGCCTGTGGACAACAGAGGTTAAGGGCACAGAGCTTATGACCTCCTGCCCAGGTTCAGTACCACTCCCCCACCCCACACAGAACTATTTATAAGGAATGCAATTGTCAATGGAGTAAAAAGAAATTCTTGTTGCTTTGGTTTCCTCAGCTGAGAATCAGGAGCCCTAGCAGGGGTGCCAAAGACAGTAAATTTGTACAAACTCAACAATGTCCCATCTAATAGGCTGGCCAGGGACAGTTCAAAGGGTTAAGTAGCCTTCAAAACCAGTGTGGGATTTTGACTCTCTTTCAAATAGGAGCAGAATAAAGTTGGTTTATGGGTAACTTTTGCTGTGGGACTTCCCAGAAGCCTCAGGTTCCTTATCTATAAGAAGGCAGTAATGGAGGTTGCTCTTTGCTATGAGGTCGCTTGAGAACCAAACAAGGCACAAGACAGGAAAATCGTTCTGAAAACAGGAAATGGTGGTAGGAACCGGAAAGGGAAGGAGCATTGTATGTATAGGAGTATGGGGCCCCACAGGGGGCACAGTGAGGGTGGTGTCCTTAGATTGTCTGTCTTGCCATTATTTGTAACAGAGGGAAATGGGATGATAATATAACTTGTACAAGAATCCCTCTCAATGTAGAAAGAGAATCAGACCATTAATACACATTGAAAATATTTAGAATATAACATATGATTGTAAGGAATGCAGATGTGATGTTTTAGAAGCTGGAACGGACTCTTGGGGACAGATTTGGAGGTGGTGAAAGACTGCCATTCATTCCACACTTAGGTAGCCATGTTCTAACCCAGGGCACTAGGAAGCTGTGGCCATCGGGGCCCTTCCTTGAGAAGTGGCTAAAGGAGGGAGACGTAAGGTCACTGGGGTTCTGTAGTCATTGCTGACAGAGCCATTTGCCTTCTGAATCTCAGTTCCTGTACACTCTAGGTCACCCCTGTGTGCAACAGAGTCACTTGGTCAAGGTGGCCCCAGCTTTGCACATGAAGTCAGCCTCACAGAATGGCTGTTATTTGCTCCTGTCTCTTCCCTTCTCCACCCCATCGTGCTGTGGTGAGCACTGGAGTTGAGTGTGAGTGCTTGCTGCTGAACTCTGCTCAGGGGGCTGATTTAGCCTCAGAGAACCACCACTCAAATTCCCTAGCTAGCTCGTAGCTGCCAGGCCTGAGAGAGCTGCCACTCTGCTTAAAAAGGGAAGAACCCATGTTGGGGTCAGAAGAGTTAACCAATCATCCAGCGAGTCCCCCAGCTTCTCGGGGGATGTCACGTGCATTCCCTGACCTTTCAGGGCTCAGATTTCTGTCCTATAAACCTGAAACCATAGGAATGCTGCAAAGGGAAATACATTACTGGAAAGTCTCGGCCCTTTAAGGAAAGGCTTAAATTTAAAAAGAAATACTTCAAGAATGGCTGGGGGTTGGGGGGTCATCTCTAGTGACTGCATCGATGGTCTTGTCACCACTTACCTCACCCAACAGTCTTCCAGACCTGCTGAACATCTGCCAGGCTTTCAAGCACTGGCAGATGTGTCAAGATACAAGACTAGGGATGCTTCTCAAGAAATGCAGTCCACTGGGAGAAAGAACACTGGAAGACAAAATAATGCTGTTTTTCATAGAGCTACACAGAGAACTCAGCCTACTCCCATAAACATCAGCCTTCTTTAATCAGACCAAGAGTATGGAGAAATATGAACAGCATCCTGTTGCATCTCCAAGGAGCCTTGGAGGTGGTCAGGGTCTCTACATGTTACCCCCATAAGCAATCAAAGCTGCTCTGGCCAGTGGCCGATGTGGCCTGGCCACTTTCAGCCCTCCTACTTCATTCCTCTGGGATCCCTGCACGCTTAAATTAAGAATTTGACTCTATAAGATCCACAGTGCCTACTCTGCTTTAAAATGTTTGCTGTTTTTTAGTAGTCCAGTCCATAAGAGCTTTGTAGCAAGGGTCAAAGTCTTTGACAGTCTGGGAGAAGTAGGCTAGAAGTCTAGCTTTGAAGCCCGAGGGCTTAGAGTTGAAAGAGCGGGACACAGCTAGGAGATTCACAAACTTTCCCCAAAAGAAAGTTAGGCATCGTCCTAGTCAACAAGGTAATCCACACCTGTCCTCATGAGAACAGTGGGTACCAGGACCCTGACCCAAAGCCACTGAGCTGGAGCCCTGTGTCCCTTCCCATTATCTCAGATCTTGACTGGCCGCACAAAGACTCCTCTGAGGTGACTCCTGCGGCACCTTTGGGCCTCCCCAGGGGAGTCACGTAAGGTTGTCTGATTAATTAGCATACAGAGAAGCAGATGTACTTAGGGCATTTCATACATACCTTGTTTTGTGTGATTCCCCTTTCCACACTCCTATCCTGCATCTCCCTGCCGCCCCCACACCCTCTGTCCCCTATACTTCCTTCCCCTCTCATAAGTCATGTATTATTCCCCACTCACTACCTTCCCATAAAACCTATTTTTCCCTTCTTGTGGGACTCTTTCTAGTTTCTCAGTCTTAGCCCAGATTTCCTCCCACCCAGATCCACGGCTCAAATCTAGGGTGCACGAGAGAGAATGCAGTATTGATCTTCACATGGTTACCTTGAATTAAATGTTTTGAAAAACACTTCTAAAAACAGCCTGAAGCTGAGGCTAGCCTCCAGGAGTAGAAAAGGCAACCCTGAAACTGGTCAGTGTATTAGAGAAATCCATCCCCGCCCTCACGCTCATTTGTTTCTCGGTAGAAAGCAGGATCGGGTGCCACTGCAGAGGGACGTGCTGGGTTCTCGGCTCATGTGGGTATAATGCCAAGGAGCACCATAGACGGACAGTGCTCCATAAAGACAGAAGGTCAAATTCAGCTCATCTGGCTTGAGCTGCAAGCTTCTGGCTTGTGGCCTTGAGGGTCCTCCCAGGACATCTTAGGATGCTTGTCCATGACCATAATGACTGGAGTATAAACAAAGTCTTGAGTTGCCTGCTCAGGAGCAGGGACTCTTACCTCTCAGTGGGTCACCCTGCACCAGGCTGAAAGGCCTTCCTCGATTATGGTAGCTGTTACTGCTCCTTATCAGAATGCTCCTGGTGTGATATTTGCTTGTAACCCACGCATGTCCTCCCATATACCTCAAACCATCTTGAGACTCATTATAATACCTAATGTCATGCAAATGTCATGTAAATCGTTGCTTAGGGAATGATGACAGAGAAAGAGGTCTGCCTATGAATGTTCAACACAGATACATTCTTTCTCTGAATATTTCTGATCCTCGGTGGGTGGCATCTATGGTTACAGAATGTACAGGCAGAATGGACAGACCCTGCTCATTGTTTTCTACCACAGTTTAAAATTGTTAATTGAAATATATGCCAGTTTATACTAAAACCCCTGTGGTTTTTAGAACAGTCACAAATGGTACCAGCAGTACCCATCTACATTCAGAATCTTCCATGGTGCGTGAACAGAGCCCATCTGCGTCCCTCCACACTCCTCACCCACTCTTTTCTCTCTGACCTTCCACAGACTGCCTGACATCTCTCGTGCATGCTCCTCTAGTCACAAGCCTCCCCAAGCTGAAAAGCCCAGCTTTGCCTTGCCAGTCCTTCAAAGGGACATGCAAGGATTGTGCTGGCCTCTGAATAGGAGCAGGCACTAGCTTCAGCAAGGGGAGGAGGACTAGAGTCGCCTTGGAGATGAGGACTGAGCCAGCACTGGCCGAGTTCCCCAGTAGGCCCCCTCCAGCTTGCTCTGTGCTTCAGGGGTCCCTGCCGCGGCACCTTGGTAAAGTCTGGAACTCCCGTGGGCTCTCCTCCATCAGAGTTCCACAGAGGGCCTCAGAAAGGCTGACAGGGACATTGTCTCTCCTGAGAGCCATCACAGGTAGCAAGTGGCTGAGGACAAGCAGTCACATACGCCCAAGGGCTCTGAATAAGCCAGCAGACCTCTGCCCATCGTGGGAAGTCTTGTCTAGTTCCAGCGTGTCTCATCCTTTCCTGGACTATTTCCTTTTCCTGTCTTAGGAAACAAAACACGCTAAGGGCTCACCTTGGAGCCAAAGCCTTCACCCTCCCCATCGATGCTGCCTATGTGGCTTGCTCCTATGCAGGGCGCACGGTGGGAGCATATTTGTAAAACTGGGTGACAGACAGTGAAGAATGACACCTTGATGGGCACAAGAATCTATTCTCCACGCTGCATTTAAATTGCACTGGATGGGAGCCACTGCACACAGTAAATTGATGGCACGTGTTGGAGATGGCCATTTGTCTTTCCCTATCGTCTGGAAGGTGAAGATCCTCCACACATAAGGGCTCCTGAGACCATGCCATCCTTACTCCCCCCACCTTCATTGAAAATAGGAAGATGGTGGGCACTGCACAGGGGTCTCGGCCCAGTGTTCACACTCAAGCAAGTCTGTATCCATGCCCATGGCAACCTGGGAGGAGCCATGCTGGAGGAGTGGAGGGGATTCAAGGAGACCCCAGGTTGGCTGTGGTGGTCCAAGTGAGGGAAGCAGCCATCTCTGCCACTCCCTGAGTGGCTTGGCTGCCAGGATCTACTTTCTTTTCAGAGATGTGCTAGGTCATCATCTCATGGAGATGCCGAGGGCTCCACATCAACTCGGTGTGGAAGACGCTGTGTGCTCAAGGCCATTGTCTCATCTGCTCTGTTCGTCCCGTTAGCAGTGTGGACAGCTGAGCAGAGAGGCATCCCATGGAGTCCAAGCTGCTTAGTCTAATATCCCCAATAAATCAATCAAAGTCCTCCTCCATCAGCAGAGTCTTCTCCCTGCAGGAGAGCACCTGGCCATACCTGTTTGGAGTGATCGTTGTTCCTGCCTTGGTGCAGCTGGCAAGCCTGCCATTTCTCCCTGAGAGCCCACGCTACCTCCTCCTTGAAAAGGACGACGAGGCAGGAGCCATGAGAGGTGGGTCCTTTGCTTCCATCACACAGTGCTTGCCTATGCCTGGATCTCAGCAGGATGCTATGCTGAGGATCAGGAAGCCGGACAGGGAAAGCAGCAGATTCTTTGCAAGCACCATGGTGGGTGCTGTGGGACAGCCACTGTCTTTGCCTCCCCACCTGCAGACACTTGTCAGATAGCAGAGGCTCTGGAATGTGAAGACAGTGACTGAAGAGAGGCTAAGAGATCTGATTCCAGAAAGCAACTGGGCACTTTCAAACTGAAGAAAGGGTGTGGGAAGTGTCCTGGGAGAGGCCAAGGACGGGCTACTCTTCAGTGATGAGGGTGGAGTCATGGAGAGCCGTTCTCCACAGGCTATGTCTTTCTGAGATGAGCTGTCAGACACAGGTGGCTGAGACCACTTCTTCCCTGGAATCAATGAGTTAAAATGGAAGGTGTCTTGTTCTGTCCTCTCCTCTCCTCAGAAACAGTCACCACACCTGCTCCCATCGTCCACAGAGCTAGGACACAGTCAGAGAGCCCCTTGCCCATCTGTCTTCCTTTTAGAATAAGCATGCCCTTGTGCGCTTGTGTGGGTAGAGCACCCATGGTCCCCAAAGCCAGTCCATTCTTAGTCACGTGAATCAGGAAGTTCCTATGCTGGGCCTCACAGCAGAGTTCCTGCTCATGACCTTGTTCTGCTCTTACCAAGGACAGCACGTGCCCTACCTATACCTAGCCTCTGCCAAGAATGTTCCAACAGCTTCCAGTGACAGGGCTAGGTGAGGACAGAGCCCCCATGGTGGCTGACACTTAGCTACAGAGTGCACCTTGACACCTCCCTGTACAGAGTTTCCTGTACCCCAGGCCTCCCTTATCCAGAGACAGAGGCGAAAGGAAACAATCTTCCTCATGGGCTCTTGGTGGAAAAGTCACAATCCCAGACATCCTGCTTCACGTTTCTGGGTACAGAACAGTTCATTCTAAATTTAGATCACAGAACTCACACTGATGAAACCGACAGCAGGGGCTGCATGAGCAAGAGCCAAGAGTGCCTCCTGGCCCGGGACTCAGGATGCAAAATAGCATTGAGAAAGGGAGGAGGAGAAGAGAGGAGAACAAAGGGTAAGATAGTATTCCAAGGTCTGGCTCCAAGTTCTTGTTAGAGACGGAAGGCTTGCATGCCCATAAATTTATATATTGAGGCCCTAAGCACCAGCATGGTGACATTCAGAAGGCTCTTGGGAGGTGATTAGGTTAAATGGGGTCATGAAGGTGTCTTTAGAAGAGAGACAAGAGTATTCATTCATTCTCTCAGTGTGTGTATGTGTGTGTGTGTCTGTCTGTCTGTCTCTCTCCATCTCTATCTCTGTCTCCCTCTGTTTCTATCTCTGTATGTCTGTCTATCACATGCACACACATACATGCACTCATGGAACAGGTGGCCATACATCAGCCCGGAGAACTAACTCAATGGTTCCTTCTGTGAGACTGTGTAAGCCCCAGGTGAGCTATTCCTTCCAGCAGCTCCTGTCAACTACGTCAGCTCCCAGAGACCATTTCTGATGCTCAGAAGGAGACTTTGGGAGCACCTAGCTCCAGGGATTCTCCTGGTCTCTTCTGTCCCTGGCTCATTTTTCTAATGGCCCACTGCAATTGACACCCAGCTGTGAGCACAGATGTGGACAGACAATTCCTAGTCTTCAGCACACCACTTGTTCTCCATGGCCAGGAGCCCATCCATCCCATGTATAGTGCAGTGTGGATGTGGATGGCGTTAGTTCTCCTCAGATAAGCAGCCAGCCTCCCTGTGGGGACATCCTGGGAGCTATTCCTGCGAAGGCTGCTCAGTCCAGTGAGACCAACCTGTCTGTCCCAGGCAGGTCCCTTATGACATGTGTTGTGCTGTTGGCCTTATAGCCTTCACATCTGCACCCTCCTCATGCAGACCTGGCTGTGCTTTCAGGCCAAGTCCTGCCTCTCTTTTCACCTGCAGAATGACAACCCTGACCTTGTCACATCAGGAGCCGGTCACAGAAGGGCTAAATAAAAACAAAAAGTTGCAGAATATGCTGTGTGTGTGTGTGTGTGTGTGTGTGAGAGAGAGAGAGAGAGAGAGAGAGAGAGAGAGAGAGAGAGAGAGAGAGAGCACTCTTGTCTCTTCTAAACTGATCAAGCAGAAGTCAAATCAGTTAGTAGTAAAACTCACAGAACCCTACATGGCCCAAAATTTCCATCTTCCCTGCTGTCAGTCATCCTGGTGAGATAATAAAAGAAGTTTACTTTTTATATAGACAATTGCAGTTTTGCAAAGCTCATAGAACTCATTTGGATTATTTTATAGTAGGGATGAAAAGAAAAACTCACGGGCCGGTAATGGCACATGCCTTTAATCCCAGCACTTAGGAGGCAGAGGCAGGCAGATCTCTGTGAGTTCAAGGTCAGCCTGGTCTACAGGTTCCAAAGCTACACAGAGAAACCTTGTCTCAAAAAAAAAAAAAAAAAAAAGAAAAGAAAGAAACCTTTTTACAAGATGCTGGGGGTTTTTTCTCTCTTTTTCTCTCTCCCCTTTCATACACACACACACACACACACACACACACACACACACACACAAAACAGGTGGCCATACACCAGTCCTTGACAGGGTCTCTGTTGTTTTCTGCTGTGTCTGCCAGGGTCGTCTGAGGATCCTGTATCCGCCTCCCATCTTGCCTCAGGAGTACTGGGCTCACAGACGCACACTGCCATGTCTGACTTCGCCTGGATTCTGGGTTCTGAACTCAGATCCACCTGCTTTCTTGGCAAGCTCTTTCCTCACTGAGCCATCTCCCCAGCCCTGGTGTTGCTTTAGGCGTACAGCTGCGAGAACTCTTCTTGCTGGTCTGAGGACACTATTTTGACTGCCATACAGAAACATTTCCAAAGACCTCTTTTCATTGCATGATTTTTTTTTTAAAGTACTACTTTTACACTCCTGCGAAATGTCCCCCTTTCCTTGAGGTTTATTGCTAATTAGTATTATTAATCATTTGTTAATTTTACACTTTCTGCCAGGCATTCTCAGCCAGTTTCCTTCAAGCTTGCAATGCCTTGTAACTGGAGCGCAGGCAGTGTCCCCAACTATGTCACATCTTGGTTTGTGCTGTCATGGTTGGTTTTTAAATCTTCAATTTCTTTGAGGAATTTTTTTCTTTGACTCAGTCTCTCTTGCCCCAGGCTGGCCTCAGACACACTCTATAACTGTGTAAGTTGCTGTGATAAAAATACCATGACCAAAGCAGCTCATGGAAGAACGGGTTTATTAGGGTTTACAGTTCCAGAGGGATGAAAGTCCATCATGTCAGGGAGGCATGACAGAAAGTGGCAGGCGCAGAAGCTTAGGGCTCACGTCTTGAACCACAGGCCCCAAACAGAAAAGCTGTGAGCAGAGCAAGGCCTTAGGCTCTCAAAACCCACTCCCAGTAACACACTTTGTCCAGCAAGGCCACACACCTAAGCCTCCCCAGTCAGCAGCAGCAAATGGGGACTGAGTATTCACATGCAGGAGCCTATGGGGGACCATCTCGCTCAGACCACCACAGTGGCCATGATGACCCTCAGCTCCTGGTGCCCCTCACCAGGGTCCAGGATACAAGCATACACCACCACTCCTTGAATCCTTATCAGGTTCTTTATAAAATACCTGTATATCTATCAGATTATTTTGATCAGAAGGCAGAATTATTATCCTCCAATTTGCTAATTATTATCCGAGTCACTGACTGGTAAACTGTACCAAATCAATGTATCACTATGTGCTGATCACAAAGGAAAAGAGTGATTGCCTTGCTGGCTTCTCCACACTACAGGGTCTCCCACAATCTCATACTGACCACGAGCTTCCAGGCCCAGGCCCAGTAAAATTGTATAAAACTCCATAGAGCCTCAACATCTCCTCCTACACCCCTTCACAGCTATGACAATGAAGAGACCTTGAGCCTGCACTGGAAGCCCCATGATGTCTGCTCTTAAATACCAGTCTTGTCTAAGCTTCTATTTTAGAAGTCTTTAGCCTTGCACTGTGCAAGACAAAGAGCTCAGAGCACCTCTCTGCACAAAGAGCCATTGGGCATGTTCCATGTGATATTCCTTTGTCACGGGAAAGAAGCCTCCAGACCTCTCTGGGCTTTACTCTGCTAGAGGTCAAGAGTATTCAAAGAAAGAAAGTAAGGCTGCCACCACAGTGCAGTGTCACAAGCTGTCAGCTCAGAGCAACTACCTATACATCAGCTAACTCTGTCCAGTTGTTCTGGGGACCAGAAGTAGAAAGTCAAAGGACTAGCAGAGCCATACTTCTCTGCTAGCTGGTGATGGTGGACAGAATCCTTAATTCCCCGGCACCCTTAGTATCTCATATCCTCAGTACCCTAGAATCCTCAGTGCTCCTGCATCCTCAGTCCTCCTGCATCCTCAGTACCCTAGCATCCTCAGTGTTCCTGTATCCTCAGTGTTCCTGTATCCTCAGTGCTCCTGCATCCTCAGTCCTCCTGCATCCTCAGTACCCTAGCATCCTCAGTCCTCCTGCATCCTCAGTGTTCCTGTATCCTCAGTCCTCCTGCATCCTCAGTACCCTAGCATCCTCAGTGTTCCTGTATCCTCAGTCCTCCTGCATCCTCAGTACCCTAGCATCCTCAGTCCTCCTGCATCCTCAGTCCTCCTGCACCCTTGATCCTTCTGCATCCTCAGTGCTCCAACATACTTAGTCTTCCTGTACTGCAGTGTTCCCACACCCACAGTGTGCCTTGGCTGGCAGCCGCGTTCCCCAGCCCCCTCCATGCTTACATTTTCACTGAGACTCAGTATCTGTTCTCCAATCTCTTTGGCCTACAAAGACAGGAATCAGATGAACCAGACCACCCTGGGGTGACCCCCACCACGACGCACACCAGGTGGCTGTTTTCAGAGCTCACATTCACAGGTACCATATGATAACAGGTATACAACTTAAGCCACGACAGAAGGTTACAACATTTGGTACCCAT